GAGCCGTTAACGGCCGCGGGGTGAGTGTGGGGTGCTGCACCTCGGGTGTGTGAGAGCCGCGGCCTGTGGTGCGTTTCCCCCGCGCCCCTCGCCCTGTGCCTCGGGGAGGCCTCGTGCTTTGTTTGGACGAGGCTTAGGGGCTGACCCTTAGAAGCCAGCCTAGCAAGCTGTGTAATGTTTGTGGCTGCAGTCTGGGTGTGAGTGGGTGTGTTTTTGTGGTTTTAATACTTTTTTTTTTTTTTGGTCTGCTTTGGCAGTTATCTATAGTCTCTTGATCATCGCTAAAAACGTATGACTTGATTTCTCCAAAGTGCTTTAATGCTGGCCTGCAATTGTGGCAAATGCTGTTGTGGAACTGCGTTAGGAGAGACTTGGTCTCCTCTCAGGTGTACAGCTAAGGAATTTTGCCCAGTGGCATAGTGATAAATAAAGGATGCTCAGGAGTAAACTTATTTGCTCACCAGGAAATAGTACTCTCACAGAGTGTATTTTAGTATTTAATTATTGAATCAGTGAGCAACAGCTTTAATTCAAGCTGATTTTTTTTTTCTTACAGTCCATTAAGAGTGTCACTGGCTCTTATATTGCTTTCAGTGGTTGATCTTTGAATGACTCTAATCTGCTGTAATGTAATTATTATTTGACCAATATGTGTTTTGTACCTGATTTGTAGCTAAGTGCTTCTCTTTTGAGTAGATTCATGTTTAATTTATATTGAAGTTTGTAAGCAAATACATTTGGTGAGTGTTACCTACTTGATAACTTTGTTGATGAGTTTAATTTGGTAGATCTTTACAAAATAATGTTACGTAAACTATGCTACAGATCTGTAAAAAAAAAAAAAAAACCTGACTTGTTTCTTACCTGTTTTTTCTTCCTTCCTCTAATGTTCCATTCTAGCCAGCAATTTTCCAGCAGCTGAGTGAGGGTGATGTCACATATGGCAGATGTTCCCAGTTATTTATAAACTGGCTCTCTCAGCTGTCAGGATGGCTGTATTAGGAGAAAAACCCAATGTTGCTTACTGTGGACGTTCTAGAAATGCTTGTTGGATTCTTACGAGTCTTTTAAAAAACAATCGGTTCCAAGGTACAGGAAAACTTGTGCTACTAAATCACCTAGGTATTTTGAAAATCCTTTCCTCAGCTGCTAATGCCTTTCCTGCATAGAAAGAGCTGATGGTGTAGCTGATCCATTGAAACACCAACTGAATGCTTCTCTTCAAAATATTTTTACATAGAGGCCACTTAGTTTGTCTCAGGAACTTGCTTCGAAGAAGCTTTATGTGATTCCTGAAAAACAGTGGCAAATTAAGAGTAAGGATTCTCTAACTAGCCCTGAAGTTTATCCCAAAGAAGCAAGTGTCAGGGTTGCTGTACAGAAATTACGTGCTTATCTTAAGTTATATTCTTATTTATTCCTAATTTTTTCTAGCATGTCCACACAAGTACTAGAAAATTGTTTAGTTATGTTTCGGGATATGATTGCATCCAGTGGAAGTATTTCATGACCATCATCATCATCTCTAATGCATCTTTCTCCTGGTTTCCCTATGGGAACATTTGTTTGCTGCGAGCAGCAGCTAAGTCTGTCGTCCTGCATCAACTGCTATGTGTGTTCTAACTAAACTGTATGTTCGTTGCTCTTATGACGTCTCTGAAGCGTTACAGTTTCCGAGATAAAGATAATTCAAGGTATATGGGCATATCACTCTTTGGATGTGCTTTGCTCTCAGATGGCGAAACTTGCACGGTGTTTACAGCCAAGAATAGAATTGTATGTGTATTTATATAGCAGTCAATCGTGTTTGTTATCCAGTACTGTCTGGATATTGGGCATGGGGGAGTGGAAGAATGCTTTCACTTTCGTGCTTGCTGAACTGAAGGACGTTGCGCATAACGATCTTTGTAGTATTTACATGAGACTTAGTGTATCTGTAGCTGCCACAGAAAAGGGTTTGTATGTGCTTTCGCATACTTGAATCTTTTTAAAAATTAGCTGGAGATGGACTCTAGAGTGAGTGTATCTCCCCCCCCTCCCCCCCCCGTGTGATGTATAACAGTGTGGATTGCACTGCTCCTGCATCCCTTTCAAAGGGTGTAAATTAACTTCTGAGAAAGAATGAATCTTTTGCTTAACGACTTCACTGCAGATATCCTGACAGGTTAGCAGATACTGTTCAGGTTACCCGTTTCTGTATTTGCTTCAAGAAAAGGACAAAACTAGCACGTCAGAACATCTTACCTCCTCTCATCCACCAAAGTAAAACTTATCATTAGCAAGCCGTGAATCACTGACTGAGAACTACTGCTTTTCATGCAAATAGATGAAATTTTTGCAAAAACCACCAAACGCAAGGTCAGATTTTTAAAGTTACTTAATATGCTTAGGAATGGAATTCATAAATCCAGTGCGTACCAGATCTGTGAGACTTCTCAGTCTTTTGTTAGGTACCAGTAACCTTCCTATAGTACTTGGGAAGGGTTTGAGCAGAGATTCTTGAATCCAGCTGAGCATGAAGCCACCTAAACCTAGCAAGGAATTCAGAAGAAAGCAACTGACTTCACCTAGCGTTGTGTGCCTAGGCAGAGAGAAATCCTTTAGATGAATATCTCTTTGCACTCGAAGGCCTTAGCAAGTAACCTAGTTGTGGAACTTCTCAGTTGTGTTAACAGAAGTTATTGTAACAGGTAGGGTTTTTTTCCTTTCTCTGAAAAAGAGAGAGAGGGAATATGCGTCCTAAATAGCCACTTAAGTGAGCATAGCTTTTCCAGTGGAGATTTCTCAAGGCACAAAGTGCAGCTTTCAGCTTGCAGCTCTTGTGGTAGTTGGGTGCCTGATCCTCATTCATGTCTTTTCAAAGTCTCTTCCATATGAATAGATCCATTTAACACTTTCATGTGCTTTTTGAGAATGTAATAATCTATCAGTGATGGTCTGTGACTGAACAAAGAGGATCAGTACATTAATATTCTGTCATGCCTTACTGACGTGCTCAAATGAAGCAAGCTTGGTGTCTGTTAATTCTGGTAAAACAATGGTTACACCAAGCAATTGCTTTAGGGAAAAATGCTAATACCAGTTGATGAGTGAAACCTGTGGTGTACATATGGATACTAACAGAAGACCTCCTTGGGCAGAATTTGCTTATCCTTAGACATATGTTTAAAGTCTTGGAGTGTGGATGCCAGGTGCATATGTGTGCTGCCATCAAATAAAGAGAAATTCTATGCAAAGATACCTTTGTTTAGCCCATATTTTGTTTCCGTACGTGTTTCTGTTTCACAGTTCTGGGAACTTGGGTACCATGCGGAGACCTCTTGCAAAACTTGAAGAATGTTGAAGAGGCTTTCATTCAGAAGAAAATGCTTAGATTTTATTTACTAGCCTCTTAAGAAAGAGATTACAAAACAGAGCAAATTTTTTTTCTCCTCTTTTGTTGAGACTGGTTGTAGCATAGTACTTTACTTTTATTTTTTTTCCCCCTCCAAAATTCTGACTCATTTCATGGGAAAATCAAAACAAAAGTTATTTAAAACTTGCCAAAAGCCTAGGTTTATATTTATTCAAGCCTAATCTATATCTGATTATTGACAGAGACTCTTTCTCCACTTTTCTTGCCTAAGTTTATGTGCAAGAAGCTGTAGGATAAACACCAAATTTGTAATGGTGATAAGAAGTGGCTTTAGTTGTCTCCTTTCCAGAAATATTACTGTGACTATATCTAATTGGATCAAAAAGCCTCACATCTCTCTCTCAAAAAAAAAAAAAAAAGTAGAATGCATTCACTTCAGCCACCA